AAGGGTTTATTAGGGGTTTAGGGTTTAGGGTTTCAGGACAAGGGTTTAGGACGGGGTTTGCTACATGAGGCAGGCTCGTATCCAAATCCTACTCCGACAACATGGGGTTTACGGTTTGGGATGGAGCATTTAGGCTTGCAGGGTTTGGGTCTAACATGTATGCTTTGAGCCCATTTCGCAGTACCATGACTGCTGTTGTCAATCATGTTGTTCATCAATGCTGCTACTGCCGGAGATTTGGGGTTTCAGGTTCAACGCTTGTGATTGGTTTTGAGACTCAGCCAATCAGTTGGAACTGCGACAGGTACCAAGATGTACTCGTACAAACTCACAGATAGATGGCACAACCCAAAAGTGATCATGCGATCCTTGTTGAACATATCACGGCCGACGGCCTGCGCAAACCCGCAAAGAGCCTGGACGAGCGAAGCTGCCCGTCTACAACCTGTACGCTGCACATGCAGCAAAATATTGTATGCACATGTATATGCAAACAAATTGTGTGTGTGTGTGTTGTAGGGTGTTTTATCACTAGTATTCCCGTGGCAGTGCCAAGCGTTGCACAGCAGCCCTATATCTTATCACCATCCCTGAACAAAAAGACTACTTCATGCAAAATACACATCCAAGCTTGCACACCTGCAGTATTCAGGCAAGTAGCAAGCCTGCTATAGCTCGGAGCAGTGAAGATTTTCCACTGCCACTGGGACCCTCGATTAGCAGTGACTGACCTGCAGAATCCACGGAACACTCGCTTACATTTTGGGCTCGGAGAGAAGTTGGCATGATGCATGTCTAGAAGCAGGCGCTGGCTGGAGGGTCTGAACTTTCGAACCGTTTCCACCATCTGTGCTCAAGCAAGACCGAAACTGATGGAAATTGAGATTGAAGATCAAATCCAGGGGAGAAGGACACCTGCTGCCACTGCACGTGGGCCTGCAAGAAGCTCACACGGCACCTCAAACCAGCAATGCCTCAACATGCCAGATGAAACGCTCACCCTTTAAACTTTTGGAGGTGGGAACTCATGGCCTTCTTTCAGCGTCAGCGTCAAGTTCGATATTAGTGGCACGCTTGACAGCGGTGGGTAGAGCGTCACCTGCAGCTTCTTCGTGGCATGGGACGTAGGTATTGCGCCAGGGAAGCTTTCAAACGTAGGGCGCAGCGTGATTCGATAGCTCTGTGCAAAGGGGGGTTTTACTTCGGTGGTTCTGTTTTTCAGAACAGATAGGGCCTATGCTGGGCCCTTCGTTCCTACCTGTCCAGGGTTCATCGTTTGGGATGGCCCAACGGCCGGAACAACTTCTGCAAACCTCCATGCGGCGACTATACGACAAGTCAACCCGAGTAGGGCCTTCAAGTATCATCCAGAATCCAGGCAAGGACATATGTTGCTAATACTTAAGGTATATGACTACGCTGAAGCCAGAACCCTGCCAAAGCGCACTTGGCATCAAGCCAAAGTCTGACGTCTGAGCCCTAAGCCGTTGGATATTCCTACCAAGGATTGCGACTTAGCCGCACTAAACCCGGCAAATCTTTCGAACCAATCGATACCTTTTACAATAGGTGGTATTCAGACTACGGTAGTTACTATCACACATTACAATCAATATTCTTACCATTGAGTATCGTCATTATTATCATTGTCGTTGTTCTTGCTGTCGCTATTCAAACCATTATTGCTGGTGGTGCTACCATCGAAACTTCAATAAATTCGAAGCTTCGAGTCTCACCGGCTACCCCACAGCTCCCCTCACATGCACTTTAGGGGTTTGGGGTTTTAGGGTTTGGGGTTTTTAGGGCTTGGGGTTTTAGGGTTTAGGGTTTAGCAAGATGAGGAGGACCTGCCAGGTGAGACTAAGCCTGACTGCACACCAAACCCCCAAGCCCCCAAACCAAATCGCAAAAGCCCCTGGACCCTGCACCAGTGCAGACTGAACCCACGAACCTCAAAGTTCTATGTCTCAACACCTCATACTCTAGACAGCTAGCCCCAAAATGCCCTCCTTCGTCCGAAACTGGGCTGCCCGGCGCAAGCAAGCTGAAGGCGAACATTCGTCGACTCCTCAGGCGTTGCTTGTGTTGAAGGTTCCGAGCTTTACAGCCCCCTAGGAGTTTTGGAGTTTCGCGGATTTGGGGTTCAGGGTCGAGGAAAGGTGCTATGCGCACTGGGACATTACGTTGATAACAGGGTCTTCGATTTTCTGAACACTGCACGGCGGTCCCTTCGGTTTAGGGGAGTTCGGAGCCTTGTACGGTGCAAGGTCTTAGCACGCAGGGGCTTGGGGCTCCAGAACTGACTGACTAACTCATTGAGGGGTTCCGAACTTGACATTTTCTTGATTTTTTGCGGGTTGAGGAAGAGCGATTTTGAGCTTTCGGGATCTAGAGTCCTAGAGGGTTGGATTTGAATTCAATTTTGTGGGTCTCGCGGCATTGAAGAAGTTAAGCTGAATGGCTCTGCATGAGCGGCGATCGTTTTGGGGGTCGAGGTCTCCGATATCAGGCGCCGGTGGTTAAGGATTGGAGGCTGGCCGTAGGGTCTACGCCGTAATCATGATGCTGTCAGATCTCACAAAAGGTATCTCTGCCGGCTACAGCCGACTATAACTAGACTAGACTACGCCCGAAACCCTAGGAGCACTCAAAGCTGGGTGGCTTTTGTATCTTGGACAGCCAACGCTTCATTATAGAACCTTCAACTGTCGTAGACCTGGTGAAAAGCTTTTATCCGAGAGGGTCCGGATCGTGCTCGTGCATCTCGAGATCTTCAAGGGCCTTCACAGGGCATACGTTGATGCTGGCTTGCATCTGGGCAGTCTGCAGAAGCCAAGTCCAAGAGAGTTACTTGTACTTGCCTTCGAGATTTTTTGTGTGCGAGCTCTGATCTATCTTCAGATGGTAGCAGAGCGTCGCGGGCCGTGGGCAAGTTACGCAGACATGTCGTTTCCACCCCTCGGCCGAAAGCACAAGCTCGCCACACTTTTGTCTCGAACCTCGTGAAACCGAACGTGCCACAAGTTCTCCGGCGGCTGTTACATAGAACTCACCCCCCAAACCTGCCGCCTCTAGTGTCCACGCAAGATTGTTGAGAAAACACTTGCATTCTGCTGGCAGTAGCAACCTGACTTTCGAAGACTTACTGAAAGCGGGCGGTAACCATCAAGGCGGACGCCCGCCAGAGGAGATTTTCTGTCGTTGAGCACATCCAAAAATCCTTGGACATGGTGCTCTGCCATGCTATGCTGTGTTTTGCTGTGCTGTGCTACGCTGTACTGTGCGATACGAACTACGCTATACAGCACTCTCCCATACTTTGCACAGTAGTCTAGTATGCGACACTAAACTGCAGTGTACCTTACAGCAGGCCATAGTATACCATACTCGGCTGCAGTCGTTGGCCTCACCGGATGCGACGGGCTGCTCGACGTCGGAGACGGAGACAGCAGACGACCTTTGAGGTAAATGCACAGAAGAAACCGGAAACCCTAAAGGCCCCAAGCTCTGCTTTCATACTGGAAGGACAAAACTAAAATGGCCACAACAATTGATGAAAACCGAGCAGGGTCCTGAGGATGCAGGGCGGTCTCTTCTCTTTACAATCAGCCTGCTTTCGTCCCCACTTGGTAAACTCTAGAGCCTTGCGCCCCACAACCGACTTCGACAAGCGTCTCGTTGCCACTCGCTTCACTCGAGGTCGCTGTGGTACTTGCGGTGTCGTCGGCTGCTTCGGGGTGCTTGAATTTCGCCTCCCGAGCTCTCAAAACACTCGTGCGGTAAAGTCATATATGGGGCGGGGCCTTAAAATTTTAGAACAGGGTTTTGGGGCCCATTCTACTGTAATTATAACAAGGAACCCCCAGAATAGTATTGGTAATTACGCCCCTTTAGTATGGTGGGCCACCTCGATGCCAGGAGCTCATGTGGTGCCGGGGTGCGGCACGGAGAGAACATCTGAGTCATGAAGCTTGATCCCTGGCTGTCACAGCTTGCATTTGCGCGGCATCTCGGGCAAAGTGCTACGGGTGGCTGCATATTCACAGTACACAGCCGCCACTTGATTCAGTTAGATGCTACCTTGCGTAAAACAGTGTACGGCACCACCCGATTCCTACTCTGGCATATCTTGAGACCCCTACCATCTTAGGAAGAATGCTTCCACTTGTCTGCGCGCCATACACCCAAATGAGCAAGGACTTCCTTGCAAGATTTGGTGTAAGGTTTTGGTTCAGCGTACGGCCAAGCAGTTCTACCAAGGCCGGAGATATCGGCCACTTCGACAACGAAAGGGCCGATGCTACTTGTTGGGGTCTAAGTACCATCTAACTGGGGAACACCAGACATAGAAAACATACAAACACACGAAATATATATATATATATAGAGAGAGAGAGAGAGAGAGAGGGTTTCAGGGTTTGGTGGCCGCAATGGCAAAGCACCGATGTTGCAGTCATGGAAAAGCTGTCCGCGCACGCATACAGCATTTCAAATCTTGGACAGCCTTGGCTAAGTCTCGGATCGCGTTTGAGTGATGACAAGTCAAGCATTTCCACGTCCACAACAAGAACAAACATGTAACACCATGCCCTAAATCCTACATGTAGACCCAAAGAGAGACAGCATAACGTCGGCTAGCGGCACTTATTCAGCCAGTCTCCAGCAGTTTTAGCGGATCACTGGACCTCCCGAGACCATCCCAATCTAGGCACCTGCTTAAGAACCCTCGGCACGATACCCCCAGTTTGTTAGGATTCATAAACAAGAACCCCATCGAGGACCCGGGCTCTCTCAATCAGGTTCTAGTATTACATCCGAGCGTGTGCAGTGGAGCCTCGTCCCTCTCGATGGCTTCAAGAGCAGCCCAAATCTCCTGCAACGAACGTACCACGCGCCTCTCTCCAAAGCTCCTAAGGAGACGTGTGCACAGCCCTCGGAAAAGAAGCGACCTTCAGCTAAACCGGAAGTCGAGACTGGAGATCTTGATACCTGCGACAACTTTAGTTCCGGTCTTCGACGCTTGTTTCTCCTCCGATCTTCGCCAGCCTCACGTGCGTCACCTACGTAATCACAAGCCCCTGAAGCTAGATCCTCTTTGGAACATTTCCCGCGTTCACCACGATAACAAACAGTGACGATGATGTTGATAGTCTTCTTGTTGTTGCTGCTTCTGTTTTTGTTAGTTGCTGGTTGGTTGATGCTTGTCGTTTTTGGCTTGTTGTGTTTCGTTTGTTGCATGTTGTTCGTTGCTTGTTGCCTGTTGTGCTTCGTTCGTTGGTTGTTGCTTGGTGTTTGCTGTTGCTTGTGTGTTGTGTTTGTGGTGTTCGCAGTTGTTGTGTGTTGTTTTGTGGTTCATGTTGCTGATGGCATTCATTTATTGCTTGATGTCGTTGTTTGATGTTGATTGTTGGTTGCCGCCTGTTGTTGTGTATTGTGTGTTGCTTGTTGCAATGTGTTGCTTGTTTGGTATTCGTTGTTCCCTGTACGTCGTTGCTGTTGCCGCTGCTGCTGCTGCTGCTGTTGCTGCTGCTGCTGCTGTTCTCGCTGCCGTTCATATTGATGACGATGGGGAGATGCTGGTGTTGAGTGTTGGGATGCTGACGAGCATGTTCGTGCTAGTTCTGGAGCTGTTGAAAAGAATGCCAGTGACGAATGATGAGGAACAGGACTCCAATTGCTTTCACATCTTCTAGCAAAGCCCTAGCAGCTAAGCAGGGCCCCTCGCAATCTCCACTCCGTCCTTGACACGGACAGACTCCGCACCCAGCTTGGCAATGTCGTTCAGCTCCTGGTCCCCCGAAACTCTTTGGGCTGCTGGGGTTTAGGATGCAACACTCGGTCCAACGACTCCGCGACAACATTCCGGCACGTATGCGGGATTTCCTATCATGGCCCGTGCATCTCACGAAAGATTCCGAAGGACATGGGCTGACGGTGCACAGAGTCGGGAAACCGTGGGTGCCACTTTGCCCATGGCTGCACTGACATCGATACCATGTGAAGACATGTGAAGCATGAATACTGCACACTCGACCCCAACCTACACAACCCTCGCCACCGAACTTTCTACCTAAACCCTAAACCTGGGATCTCGGTGGCCTTGCCAAGATCCATCATGCCGCTCAGGAGGGTCTGGAAGAGGAGCTGCACGGCCAGATTTGTCGGTTCTGGGGCTTAGGAACTTTGAGGCCGAGGACTCGGACACATGGCTGGCAAACACTGTCATATACCAGAACAGACTTTGACATACAATAATAATTAACGTACTGTAACGCACTATATGGGACTATAGAGCGTCTATATATATATATATATACTGCAATGTACAATAACATACTATAATAATGTGTTTAGTAATCCAGACTCGTGCTCGAGTTTGCGAGACATTGTTGCACGCTGCTCTTCGTTCACGATCTCTGCAAGCTCTGCTGTGCCTGGCTCTGTTGAATCGTGCCAAAGGACACCGTGCCCTTGAAGTACCTGAGTGGCATTGGCACTGAACCAGCTGAAACTGAAAGCTAGGCCACCCCAACATCCCGAAATTCCGAACTCAAACTCCAAACATGAGGCCCGAGTCCAGCAAATTTGGCTTCGTCTGCCCGGATGCATCGGGGCAATGACAAGCATCGGCATGAGGCCAAAGCCTGCTTGGACCACACCTGCTTCTCAAGTGAATTCCGAAGCTTTCGGAGGTCTGCCTATGTCTGTTCGCTTCAGTTTTGCACATTTTTCCGCCGGTTGGTAGTGACGGGGCTTTGGTCCAGGGGCTCTTCAGCCACACGTCGTAGGCGGTCTAGGGCTTAGGCTGAGTGTTTCAACCCCGACACCTTGCAGATTCGCAGAGCCAAAATAGAGCTGATGTTTAGGAACCGGTCTTCCCTAGACGATTAGCAGTTGCCGTTTCAGGAGTCTTCGCCCAGCTACTAGAGGCCTAAGCCAAAGAGACCAGCAGACTCTTAAGGAAGCGTGTTAGAAGGCGTGTCGCATGACCTCATCTTCAGCCCAAAGCCCCACGCTTCTCATGCGCATCACGTATATTTGGTATGGGTTTAGGGTTTAGGCTAGGCTGCCCTCACGCAAGGTGACCAGCCTTAACGAACTCGCGTGTCGGAAAGCTTTTTATGGCAGTCGGAGGCTTTATTATTATAGTATATAGTATTATTAGAGTAGTAGTATACTGTGGTGTAGAGACAATCGTCTGGGGCTAGGTAAGGGATTTTATCCCCAGCTGTTTATCGAAGGCTTCCGGTTTCTGGCCCTTACAGTAGCCTTGTACACCAGGCCGGACTAGACCCAGGAACCCACAAGTTCTTCCGGCGAGGTTCCGGTGATCATTTTGTAAACCAGCTCGATAGCCTCGGATCTAGGGTTTAGGGTTTTGGGATTAGGGTTCAGGGATTAGGGTTTAGGGATTAGGGTTCAGGGTTTAGGGTTTAAAGATTAGGGTTTAGGGTTTAGAATTTAGGGATTAGGGTTTAGGGGTGTGGGCCGGGGCTTGTTGGCAGTCCGAGGGTCGGTGCAAAAAGAAGTCCCGGGCCGGGTCACCACAGTATACTACTACTCTAATAATACTATATACTATAATAATACCATAATGATACTATAATAGAATGACACCATAATAAAACCATACTAGTACTAAGACATAATGATACTAAAATTATACCAGGACTGAAACCTAGTTGGATTTTTCGCGTAACAAAGCACAGACGGCGAGTGTTCGGTTAGAAGACAAGCGTTCCAGCCGCCATGCTTCTCGTCTAATGTGGGAGTTGCCGAAAACAGGGGACCCCAATACCCTAAATAGTAGGATCCTTATTATAAGGACCCCCTAATAAGGTACCCCTAATGTTCGGAAACTCCCATGTAATGAGGCCAAACGCGGTAATGATTATATACATGGCACCTTCCTGGTGACAGCAATTGAGCAGAAGCGAAAGCCGCTCCTGTAATCAGCAAAACTCAATAGTGCAAAATCTGCCCACGGTTTGTTCGTGAGGAACTTCAGCCAACAATGCTTACAATCACTAGAAAGGGCTTCTTATAGTGTCTTGAATTTTCTTTCGTCCCAGAACCAATGGGACCCTGCTCTAAAGCTTCGGCTTCAGAATGCAAATCTTCACCGGCGAGAGCGCGCTGTTCAGGGCTCTGAAGCTTGAGCATGGTCATGTCACGCATATTATCCTAATATGGAGTTTAACCCAAATCTCGGAAGATGAAACTTCAACGATGGACTTCAGCACCTCGTCTCAGTTCTCGGCAGCGGATTTTTAAGCCTCAACCCGACTCCCAGTTGCCTGAAGTTCTCAAGCCCAAGTTGACCATGCTAATTCCACAGGCGAGCGGCTGCAAACTTGTAGCTGGACCTTCAGCGTAGTGCGGCTGGAAGTTTGGCTGGTGGTTTCGTTGAGGTTGAGATGCTATAGCGATTTCTGCTACTGTTAGCTGTTAGCTACTCCCGGTACTGCTGCTACTGCTGCAAGTATTCCGAAGCATTCTGAAGATCAGCAGCAATATTGATCACGATGATGTTAATTGTGGTCATTACATGTCACTACCTTGATCTCGACGTTAATGCTCGTGTATACTATTCTTCCGAGTACAATGCTCACTAGTTGTTGCCGTGGCACCGCTGTCATTATTGCAATTTCTGCTGCTCGCCTAATTCATGACTCGAGCGGTTTCGTTGAACTCCAGCACGACTTCGGATCGCATGCAGCTTGGCGATGGACGGTATTAGTTTGCATTCTACAGGGGTTTAAGGTAAACCTCAAGGCTTTGAGCATCACTCCGAAGATTTAGGAAATCCGGAAATAGCCAAGCCACAGATCAGATACTCGATGAACCGTAGAGCCCTAGAACCCTGTGCTCTAAACTCTAAAACCCAACAAGCCCGCAACCTTACACAACACCTCAACTCAGCCCGACCCGGCCGGGATTATCTACACCGTCGCAGGCTAGCGAACACCCCAAGACAGTCCCGATCCCCACTTTGACTGCAGTACATATCCTCAACGGTCATGCTCATCCGTTTTACGTCGCAGAACGAGTAGTTAGCTACTGAAAACATGTTGGTTGCTGCCTGCGAAGCAAGTCAGCCAAGGTTTCGTCGGGCTACACACCAACGGTGTGGAATCGCAGGTAATGTCAAATCTTGCGATGCAGATCGCGTATGTTGAATAGGCACTGCGTCGATGTGTCTACCAAGTGTGAACAAATTTCACCATCGACAAGAGCCAGGCAGCAGTGCTGATGAAAAGACTGGCAGACGAAGTGTTGCGAACGGTTGAGTAATATAGGGGCCTTAGCAACTAGAATAGGGTTTTGGGGCCCATTACTGTAATTATAATCAGGACCCCCCCCGGAATAGGCCGAAGCCGATGCAAAAGCCCAATCTTGCAAATCGACAAAACCGAACATAAGACACGATCCCAAATTGACCCCCCAAATCCTAAACCCTAAACCCCAAATCCTAAACCCTATACACCGGAAGCCTTGGATAGCCTGGGCCCCGACCAGATCACATGGTCTAGGACCTGCTTTGCTGGCTCGACACTTGGGGTTTTGAGTTTGGGGTTTAAGGTGTGGGCTTTTGGGGGTTTAGGATTCAAAGTCTTGGGTTTTGGGTTTAGGCTGGTTTTCTGGTGGTTTAGGATTCAAAAAAACCGGGTCTGTGGAGGAGGGGAATGCAAGCCTGGGGCGGTCTTTCGTTCCAGCATGATGATACGAACACGTGCACTCAAAGCCGCCGGTGCAAGTACGCCATGGTAGGGGTTGACATCTACCTGTCTATGAGTCTACACAAACAGCAGCCGAGGACTTTTGCAGCAGCAATGTAAAGAACCCACAGGCAAGGCCAGTGGTATATGCACTGACCGAGACAGTACCCAAACAGAATGGCATTTGGGCTTTGGCTGGCCGCACGACAGGCAGCCTTAAAACCTTGCCTCAGACACGCCTTACGACCACAACTCCCAACCCCGAAGCCCCCAAGAAGGAAGTGCGCAGAAAGCCGTGTGACATCCTTCTACGTATCCGGGATCTGAAACCCTCTGAAACCTGCAAGTGCGATGTTCTGGATACGAGCGTGTGGCTCATCAGGTCTACGAGGAAGGTTCAGAATGCGTTAGAGTCGCCGAAAGGAAACATGACGGACGGCTCGGACTCTCTGCCAGACATCGACAGATGGAAAGGATCAGAGTAGCAGGCAGTGGCAAGGGTCGCACTCCACTTCTACTTAGACGGTCCTTTTCATAAACCCCGTCTGCCACTTTCACACTCAAAGGATTGCTATGCTAACAAACACCCAAAACCCTGTTCGAATTATTAAGGCCCCTTATCATAGAACCCTACTATAGATCCCTATAGACCCCGTTCCTTTCGCCCCTCTAAGCTGGGGGGTGCGGCCGTCTCGGAGCACTCTCGCTCATACTGGTAGCCGCGGAAGAAGGCAACGGATTCAGCCTCGATGCTGCTTGTACCAATCATAGGGACCCTGAAGGGGTAGGCCTTTTTTGGTCCGTATTGCGGGCAACCTCCCCCCCTAAGGGTGCCTGCCGGCTTGGTTTAAGATCCCCCTGGCCCTTCGAGGATCCACCTCATCGTCTTACAAGTAGGGGCGCCCGGAGACAATACGCAAAATGATCTGCCAGACTCAAGGAGGAAAGGTAGTCACGATACTTTACTTTAAGGCTTGAGAGCATGGAACCTGACATACAGAGCCAACCAACATCACTATCGTCACCCTCAGCACCATCACCACCACTGGTGCACCAGCATCGACATCAACATCTCGATCAGAACGTCGCCGTCATCACCGTCATGATCCCTTAACTCAAGAATCAAGGTAAAACATCTGAATTTCACAATGATCCATCGAAAATATCTGTGCGATACCGGAAGTAGTGAACTCTGGGTGTGCCGAAGTACCATTCCTTCCGATACTGCAAGATGACATTGCAAGTGCACTGGAGCCGGGCCACGCTACGAGACAAAATGAATATGGAGCACCATCTACTTGCACTTGGGCGATGGGTCGAGGGGATGGGATAGCGAGCAGCCACCATAGAGCCCTCGAGTAGAGCTCAGTGCGGCAAGAAAACGAAGCAGCGCTCAGGATACTTCTGATCCAACTCATCCATTCCGGGAATTCCCTCTGCTCAGCGGCCAGTACAGCCTCCCCTTAACTTGATTCACACTTCAGTTTATCCTTCCCACAGCATCGCAACTTGATTTCTGGACTTGAGGCTGGAACTCCTGCACTACCAGGATTACTTCGCATACCTGCTGCAACTAAAACTGCAAGAAGCTTTCTGCAGGTTCCTGTAAGCTTTGCGGTAATCTTTTGGGGTTCCATGGGGGTTACCGGGTTACCGGTAATTACCTTTAGGGGTTGCAGCTTTAGCTGCTCTGAATCCCAGAGCAACCCAACTGTCCTAAGGCAGGAGCATGCTCTCGCAGCCGCACCAACACGTAACGTAGATCGGCCTGGCGCTGCTAAGGCTTTGGGATCTGTCTAGGGATTAGGGTTTACAGTAAGCCCCATAAAGTTGGAAACCGGATTGAGGCCAAATAGTGCTGGGATTCCCTATACATTACTCTTAAGGATTGAGGCTATTCGGTTTCTAACTTTTGGGCTTCTACGGTAAGGTATCTTCTTTGGCAAGATCTTCAAAATGGCAGATCAGGATTCCAAAGCGGGCAGTTGAAGATACAGGTTCTCGGCTTCGGGGTCAGACTGGGACTGGACATCAATAGCTAGGATACCCAGTAACCTAAGAATAAAAAGGCCTCTCTTTTTGGTATTGGGTAACTTTATAAGGAACCTAGGACTACAAAAAGGGAATAAGGGTACTACTGGGCATCCTAGATAGTGTTCCAGCGATGTGAGCCTGAATCACCTTTGCCTACAGAGCTTCATCAGGTTTAACTTGTAACTGCTGTATTCTGCTGTATTGGTAACTTACATACTGACCCAATAGTCATTATGGCTACTGTACCTCCGACACCTACTACTATCATGTGATCAAGCCACTTCTATCGTTGGTGTGTTCTAATCTGAACCTGGGCTATCCTGAATCCCAGGCCAGCCCGCCATCCAAACATCAGCCTCAACGACTTTGTTTTGCAAAACAAAGAAGTGCTGCATGTCGAGCTTCCTGTTTTCAAGAATACCCCAATCCGAAAGCCCACCCCAGCCCGACAAAAACCTTAAGCCGCTAAACCCCAAAAGCCAGATTTCCGACTCAGCACCTCGACTGCCAGCACGCGGCGCTGAATTTTCATCAGTGGCGCGGCGAAGAACACCAGGGAAACGAACTCGGCCGGGTGCAACGAGAGTCGCCGAGCTTAGGTTCAGAGCACCGTGTCAAACTGACGGGTGTGTAGGGTACTATTTTGGGGGTATAATAAAATGGGGCTCCAAAACCATATTCTATTCAGGCCCCCATATTAGGGGTTCAGGGGTTTACTATTTAGGGTTTCACAAGTAGCTGGACTGTCAAGGAACCGCTGCTGACAAAGATGGAACAGTACTTGCACAGGACCTAAGGTCGCCGCCGTGTAGAGCAAAGAGAAGCCCACAAGGGTGTAAAACCTGAGCGGCGCATGGGCATAACTCAGTGCACTGGCCGTCGTCTAGCTGCACATGTCGCAAGAGCCATTCGTAGTCTTCACCGTCGTCGTAGGAGGAGCAGGAGCAGTAGAAATTTGAAGCGGCGGAGCTCCAGGAGGAGTAGCAACAGCAGAAGTAGCAGCAGCGGCAGCACTCGTCGTTGTCGTACGAGTCGCGATATACGTTGTCGTTGTGTGGTCGAAGTCGCTGTGGTGGTTCTGTCGTGGTTAGTAAGGTGTTGCTGTGGTGCTCGTCGTTGTTGCCGGCGTCGCAGACATAGTCGTAATTACAGTCGTAGCCTGCGAAGCAATACTCAATGCGAAAGCCACCGAGGTGGTCGTAGCAAGAACGAGTAGGACCACAAACCCTAAGAATGGTGAGCAACACGGTCACCGCTAAACCCTAAACCCTGTAAGTATAGGAGTCACAATGGCAGCTTTAAGACATCAAAAAAACAATAATAGCAAACATCATAACGACAATAACACAACTCACTACTCATGATAGGAAAAGAGAGACCTCCCTGAGCAGAGTCCCGCACAGTCGCGGAGAGATCTCGATCAAAGCTGCGGAATTCAACGCGATCTTCATGGCCTTAGTATCATTACTATTGCTTACTACTAGCATCACTATCATTATGATTGTTACAATTACTGAAGGAGCTTAGGAGGTGCCGGGGGCAGGGTTAAGGGTTTAAGGATTTTGGGGTTTGGGCTTCCGTTTTGGTTTTGCGTTTTAGGGCTTGAGGGTTTAGGAGGGTTGACAAGGCAAGGTCAAGGTGTGCAGAGTGTAGTGAAGGCCCTTGCGTATGCCGAGTCGGGGCGTAATTCGGGGTTGCAGGCATGACTGCGCTTCGGGGCCAAGATAACAGTATTGCTGATCGGCTTGCACGTTTCATGGCTAAGGGCCTTTAGTTGTCTTTGTAGCAGTAGTAGTAGTAGTAGTAGCAGTAGCAGTAGCAGTAGCAGTAGTAGTAGTAGTAGTAGTAGTAGTAGTAGTAGTAGTAGTAGTAGTAGTAGTAGTAGTAGTAGTAGTAGTAGTGGTAGTGGTAGTGGTAGTGGTAGTGGTAGTAGTAGTAGTAGTTAGTAGTAGTAGTTCGTAGTAGTAGTTAGTAGTTAGTAGTAGTAGATAGTAGTAGTAGTTAGTAGTAGTAGTTAGTAGTAGTGGTAGTTAGTAGTCGTAGTAGTAGTAGTAGTAGTCGTAGTCGTAGTAGTAGTAGTAGTAGTAGTAGTAGTAGTAGTAGTAGTAGTAGTAGTAGTAGTAGGAGCAGCAGTAGTGATGGTGGTAGCAGCAGCAGTCGTCGTCGGTCTGTGGCTTTCTGGTCCATGGGGCCTTACCTCGCGTCCGTAAGGCCTCAGAATCCCGTCGTTAAGGCGCTTGAAGCACATCGGCTAGCTTGATGTTGTTTACTTGTTGTTGTATTTTGTCATTGTTGTGTCTTGGTCAGACCCTTGCAAGGGAAGCGTCCAGGCTTTGGGGTATTAGGATTTTGATGGGGGTTCCAAACACCTTTGCCACGTCGTCAAGAAATTCATCATGTGACTGTAGCCAACCCGACAAGTACTTGCAATATACTTCCATGCAGCTTCCCGTGGCAGGAGACCCGAACTGTGAGTCATGCCTTGAGCCATCCCTTTGTCAACAAGGCCTTGTGCAGACACGACAAGCCCCAAAAACACACGTCGAGACAAACCACGACAAGCCATGTATCTGTCAAGGTGCAGACAGATCATGGCAGATCCCCAGAGAACCCAAATCCAAGGAACCAAATCTGCGCAAACACCGGAACTTGAAAACCTGATTTCATAGGGACTTGGGGGGTAGGTCAGGAGGCCTTATTTGGGCCTTATTGTGCGCATTAAGGCCCCCTACCCCCTCCCCCTACCCCCCTAAGGGTCCCTATGATCAGTGCGAGTCCGAGCCCCGCTCGTCCAGCGCAAGCTTCTGGATCAGGGTGACAGATGTCCTCGTGAAGTTGCCTGTGAGAGTTTACAAGGGTTAGTTTTTGTTTTTTGGACCCGCGCGTCTTGTAGCCACGGTTTAGGCTTCAGGGTTTAGGGCTTAGAGACGTTATTTGGCTTTCTCGACTCGGGGGTCTCAAGCAGATTGGGACTCAGCGTCTGGCACAAGCATGGAGCATGGCTTCTCTCGAAGCCCCAGTGGGGTTCAACTTGTGAGTCTGGCCTGCCCTCCAGGGGCCCCGGTCTGCCAAGCTTGACTACAAGCGACTATTGTCATCGACATCCCTCCATGGCCGTTTCCAGCAACAAGCATGCTGCCTGTCGCATGATCATGGCAGCAGCAGCACCAGCAAGCGCAGCAGTAGGAGTGTGGCAATAATTTGATGATCACTGTGATGTTGGACGTGCTCATACAGAAGTACTTGTGTCCTTCGGCAGTGGCCCAAGCGGGGTGCGGCCTATGTCTTGTGCAATCCGCTGATCAGGGTTGTCGAGGTTCCCATACCTCGGAAGCCAATTAAGCTTCAGCGATGTCTATGCGTTCAGGGGTTTCAGGTGCTGGTGCTAAGCGGGCAAAACGCACATCTGGATATTCAGCAGCCTACCGAACTTTATCAGCTTACACACTGCACTGCCAAACGCTTGTCACACTGGTATAGAACATTGGCCGGCAGCCAGCGGAAAAAGTTTGCCAGACACTTGAACACACAGGCACACCTATGCGCCTGACCATGCCGTATTCCCACGATAGGACCCCTAAGCGCACACTTCTCTTCCAAACCATGAGGCCATCATCTTTTTGGAGGTTCCTTATTATACTAATAGTATAATATCCCCCAAAGCCCCATCCTAATCATTAAGGCCCCTATGTTAAACATCTAGCAGATCTTACCAAGCAGCGTCCTCCCGCAGCGAGAGCGACGGCTATGCGGCTGTAGCCAAAGACCCAGAAACCCCAAACCCAGCACCCCAAGTCAAGAATACCTTGGACCTATTCGGATTCCCTGCAGGGATGTTTCTCGACACGGTTAATTACTAGTCTGTTGAACTAGGCAGCTGGGAGAAAACACTCCGAACCTTTGGAAAAGAAATGACATCTGTGCAGGCGTGCGGCAGAATCTTCAGTCTGTAGAAACAGCTCTTGTCCGAGATCTCAGCAGGGCTCCCCACGAGGTACCGTAACTAATATGGGGCCTTAATAACTCTAATAGGGTTTTAGGGCCCATTATACAATACAAAAAAATAGGGAACCCCCGAACTGGCGTACTACAAATATTGAGGCCCCATTGAGAGTACCGATGATGCCCAAATCCGGTCCAAGACATATGGCGGCTGCTACAACCAATAACTGCTGCCGCTGCTGCTGCTGCCGCTGCTGCTGCTGGTGCTACAGCTACTGCGTACTACTACCACTACGACTACGACGATTGTGAAATGCCGCGACTGTGCTTGGTCACCGTGCCACTATGTTATGACTGTTCTCACCAGTGTCGCGACTTCACAGGAATGTGTTCGCAGCATCGCTTCTGATGGAAGTTTTTGCGATACTATTACAGTACTGCCGTAGTCTTTCAAGCAGATATGAACTATGATTGTGCTCTGCTGATCCTGCTATCATGCAGCAGTACCATAGCTCCGGTAATTGTCCGCCATGCAGCTGTCTCCTACCTGTAGTTCATGCTTCTTATCCCAGCAAGGACCAGCATGCCTGTCATGTCGGGCACAACTTGGACCCTTCAACGGCTGTCAACTTCATGTCGACGTCGTTCAGGTTCGGGCTTTGGTGTATGACTTTTCGTAGGATGAGGCTCCCTAGACTTCCGGAAAGACCACCAGCTGTGCCACGGGAGTATGAGGAATTTACAGCTCCTGAAAGAGCGAACCGTGTTCTGCTTATCAGCCCGCTCCTGCTACTATACTAGCTGCTCTAGCTGCAGGCAAGAGGCATACATGTCGAGCCTCGGCTAGCAGGGCGAGGCTTTGCATGTGCATGGACATGCTGCAGCCCAGAAGCACAGGCTTCCTTTCTCACCGGTCTCAGATTTTCCAAATGCCCTTTGAATGAATCTCAATCGCTTTTTCGGTCGGGGCAGCACCAGCGCAGGCGGAGAGGAACTCCATACTTGTGCGTTGAAAACTTCTGCTTTGCCATTTTGAAGTGCCGTGCTACTGCATGTTGAAGGTATATGTGAGAGACTGTGCACACTGGGATGCTGACCTCGTGATCGGCTTGCAGGGTTTGAAATTCAATCACATCTTCATCTTAGAAAAAGCAGATCATATAGCACTGCAGGCTATCTGGATCGAACGCGCTTGTGCTGAGCCTTTTCCAGGAAGCTAGCTTGGGGCTTGTCGAAACTCGGGGACGTTGTGGGCATGGACTGCAGGCTGATGTTGACCCTTACAACCCGAACTCTAAACCCAAGTAAACCTTTGGTGCATCGAGAAATGCCTTGGCACGGTTGACTAGGCTGAGACTACTGCCAATGCGATAGATGGGTGAAAACTAGACAAGTAGCTATAGCACTTGGTATTCGGTCCATGGTGCCCTTGGCCCTTCTGCCCTAGGGAGACCAAACCCCATCGCTTGGGGGTTTAAGGCTCGGATACTAGACTAAAGTGAAGGTTTAGTCAGATGGCCGTCCGGCTGGACTTTCAGAGTTTTAGCCAAGATGCGCTTCCTGCGTCAGGAATTTTCCTTGGCTGTGCTCAGGGCCCAACCCTGAAGCAGCAACTTTGCACACCTCGAGGCCGAACTAGAAAACCTGCAAACCCTGAAGCCTGGAAAACTAACGATGCTGAACTCTTGGTTCGGCCAGCTGATGCACAAGACTTGAAACCTGAACAGCCCAGTGTGCCTATACCTGAACGGGCCAGAACCCCATAAACCCTAAGCCCCTCAACCCCCAAACCCTCATTCCCCTAAACCCCGAAACCCCTAAACCCTAAATCGCTAAACCCTAAACCCTATACCGTAAACCCTAAAACCCTAATAAAAACCCAATAACCCACCCCTAAACCCTAAACCCCTAAACCAGGTGCCTACGGCAAAGACCTTGAATTTTGAGCCGGGGATGGTGATCATCCCAAGCATCTATGTGTGAAGTTACGAGAGACCAGGCTGAAACGAAATGGACCTTCAAGGTCAGCGGTTTAATTAGGGTTTAAGCTTTATACCGTAGGTTTTGGGTTTTAACTCCTTTTTTGCATCTGCCCCGAGGTACCATAGAGTCCAGGGTTTATGGTTTTGGCAGAGGCTCTCCAACTCAGGCCCAATGTGACAGCCGCGCCAAAGTGCAAAAGGAGAACTGGCAGCAGCCTGCCCGGCCGGCTGGGGTTTTTAGTGCCCCATTGCTTTGGGCGACGACAGGGGCCTTAATAAATGGAATAGGGCTTGGGGGTATACTACACTATATATGCTTATAATATGGAACCCCAAAAATAATGAAGGCCCCTATAGCAGTGTGCACCAAGGGTTCGTATGGTCACCATACACTCACTGCATATCGAAGATGGCCGAAGCTGGGATCAAAACAAGCACAATGCGCAGTGAGTTACTGGTTCAGCGCCCGGTGCAGGACTCCAGCTCCAAACTACCAAGGTTTTGTCGTTGGGGTTGGAGCTTTGAGGCTTGGGGTTTAGTTTTCAGCACTTCGGGTGTGACAAGCCGGCGCAATTTGAATGGATGGGTTTCGTCACTGTCACACTTCAAACTTGAAGTTTGCCGACCTAGACCTCTGAGTAGCGAGTGTTGCTGTTTGAGGTATTTTGGCCAGTATTGCAAGCACACCTGGGCAAGTCCGATAAGTCCAAGTCCATATTTTTTCCTTCGTGAGTGTCGTGGTAGCTAGTTGCCGATCCCAGATCGAAGCCCTAAGCGCCAAACAAAAACGTGTACCGTATACATCCGTATGCAGTACACCCGTACCGCAAGCCTAAGTGCCGCCGGAAAACTCATGTCCCGTGGCCTCTCACACACACACACACGACCGGGTGCAAGCACGTTTGCGTCACATATATAGAATCTTATAAGGTAATCCCAAAAAGGAACTACTTTGGAGCCTATGGGTAGGTGCACCCAGTGCATTGCAAAAAGGGCCCCAGATACCAGCTTTTCCGTCTGGGGGATACCTTCATTTCAACTAGGTTTAAGGCCAAACCAAAACATGTAAAGCGTGTAGGGGCCTTAATAGTTAGAATAGGGTTTTGGGGCCCATTATACTATGATTATATTAGGGACCCCCCCCTCCAGAAAAAAAAAGAAGCAAACTAGTATAGGCAATTTCTATGCCCCCCTATATCAAAATCGCAGCGGGAAGCACAACAGAGAATGGACCGCGTTTGATTCGGGGATGGATCCAAAACCCGGCCTCGCGATGATCAAGACCTTAGCACAGCGAACATAGCTATGCTCCCCTTAGAACCATAATGTAATGTTAGTTTTAATGTTCCATTGGGTTTTGTATGAACCGAAAACAAGATACTTCATAAGGAGGCTATAGATGGAGCTGGTCTAACCTCGAAACTCCTGAACAGGTTGAGCCTGAAACCAAGGCTGTAACTACAGCATCAGGTACTACAGGAGAAGGGTGCAGCTTCCGGATTATCAGCTGAGGCTTCTCGGCCGAGCTCTGAGAGCTTGCCTTAAATTCAGAAGGGCTGTGTCGTGAGGACCGGACACCGCAGCTTCGACACATGCCTTCGGTTTCGGGTTGTATGGGAGTTTCAGAAAATTAGGGGTACCTTACTTTGGGGCCCTTATAATAAGGATCCTACTATTTAGGGTACTATTTTAGGGTCCCCTATTTTCGGAAGCTCCCGTATTCATATTCCAACAATTCCCGGCACAACGAGCAGATCAAAAAGACCGCGATCGGACCCGTCTTCGCCGTTGAGGATTCAGTTTAGGGTTTAGGGTTTAGGGCAACTGGTATGTACTGCAAGTAGAGGTGCTGATCACTCGAAAAATCTATGTTGTGGCAACTGCAAGTGACAATGCCTTTATGATATGCCCTCTGCACGACCCCCACACAACCGACAAAGCCCTGCGACAATCCTGTGCCATCTCCAGACATAAGTCCCCTATCTAAATCCTAGGTCCTAAACCTTGACATCACACTCGGAACTCCACCCTAGAGCTCCTAAAGCCTCGAATGTAAAGCCCGACAGACCCAGACTCCCTCTTCTAAAGCCGTTAGCCCTCTCTTGGGCTCACTGGCCAGCTTGCGAAGCTCATCCCAAAACTCGTCCTCCGATTGTGCTTTTCATTATCGGGTTTATCCCAAAACGGGGTTACTTTAAAGGGTTTAGGGTGTAGGGGGCCTTAAGGAGTA